AACGAAGGAAGGCCTTTTGTCGAGTCGACTCAAAAAGCTGCGTTCATTAGTTTAATGCCTTCGTTATTATTTCCTTCTTCTTTGTATGGAGTTTGGGGAAGCACTCACAAGGGGCAACTATGTCTGGAGCTTTCCAAACACGGCCTCCTAACCTAGCCTAACTTACTAGGCCACTAAGCCACAAGTAATTCATTTTTTGATTTTAATAATTTCTTTAAAATAGAGTATTATATCTTTATACATATACATATGTATGTAGTATAAATAATATGCTGTTATACACACTTTTAGTCATTTTATTAAATTTGCTTTTCAGTAACTCACCATGTGACGGATATAATCCCTTCGAATTGCCATTCATGTGCATAGGATTTTGGGCGTTATTCTGAAATGAATACGTTAACTGCAGGTTAATGTGGCGGGCAAATGAGCTTCCTTCGGGTTCACGCACTGTAAGTGAATAAAAATTAAGATAGTTGGTAACATTTTTGTGATTTTTTTCTATTGTAGTACAAGAGTATTTTAGAATTAAAAGGTAATACCTTTAACATGCTTTGAAAGACAGCAGGGAAGCTAACTCGTGGGGAATTCCTCCGATTTGCGTGGAATCTCAGTTTGTGTGGGGATTAGGGAAATGGACAGTTTTTGTGGGGAATTTCAGGAACAACAAAAACTTCGGCAACCAAATTCTAAAACAAAAATTTTTAGACACTTTGCACTTGCACACTGTTGTCTGTATATACGTTCCACACACTTTAGTGGGAAAACGGAACGCCAAAGTATCCCGAAATGGAATCAGTAAACGGACAAAAATCCGCTCTATATCCACTTTTTGTCCTTTTTCGGATCGGTTTTCGGATATTTTGCTGGCTGGGGAGCGGCGACAACACACACATACCTACATAGGTATATGAACTTTTAGATCGCATAAAAGTACTCTTTCGAAATTATAAATCTCTAAGCGAAGATTCTCCCAATATTCAATTTTTTTTTATAGAAAAAAGAGTCGATAGTTTCAAATCTCTACAATTCTTGCTACTACTACTTTTTTAATAGCTTCCCGTGGCGCCTTAACAAGGTTGTATCATTTGCGGTGCCAAGTAGGCCGCTATCATCCAACCGTTCCACTTAATTTTGTAAAATATTCAGTGGATTATACATACAAAACCGCCAAAGACGCAGCATGAGAAAGCGAAGATTTTCACATATTCCAATATAGCCAATCGCCAATGGACAATAAACCTGGCGCCATACCATTACGAGCGGCAACCTGAAAGTTAATTTGGGTTTCTAATTCTCGCGGAAAGTATGGTGAATGTAGGCGCATCGTGACACTAAATAGCTACCCAGTAGAGAAATTCACAATAAGTGAAATATAGTTTTTGATTGGCAACTGGGGAAGAAATTCAGGTGTACACACAGAGAAAAAACTAACTAATAAAATAGATATATATATCGTTTTTCCTCAAAAAGACATACGTATTAATAAACTCTATAAGAATTTTCATATAAAATCAATAAGCAGTATATGGAATTTTCTTTGTTTTTTTTGTCTGTTTAACTCATTGGCCTAGAAACTTTTCATAGCAACAAATTATTTAGTTCCAAATTGTGAAGTGTGGTGGAAAGTCTGCTCTTCTTAAGCCATTACAGGCTGTACCGAAGCAGTGAAAAAAAATTGGCTGCTACCTCTTATTTCCTACGGGGTTCTTGGCTGCATTCAGTAGACTCTTCTATTACATTTAGGTGCATGCATGTATAGGTATGCAGATTAGTATTTGCATATTTTCAATTAGGCAGAAAAAGTGAAAAAAATCTCTGAGCGAGCTACTTGAAATGTATTAACTACCAAAAAAATATGCGCAATAGGTGCTCAAATATGTCTGTATGTACATACAAACGTACACCGGCTCGTATTCAATGCACTTATAATCATAAAACCGGCTGTTAGCTAAGCTATGGGGCTAAGTGCTTTGCATAGGCGCATGCGCACAATTCTCTCCTAAGCAAACAACACCCATACTAAATATTTATTTATGCAGCAACTATGACTACAACTACAACTACAACAACTACTTACTTTTATTCTTACCAGCATGAATATGTTTTTTTTGTCGCGCTCTCGAATTTTGAAACCAAACTTGCGTTACACGCTTACTAAGACCGGTCACCGATGCGATGCGCTCCAAATCCTGCCCATCCGGATTGCTGTCGATCTGAAAGTTGGCTTGCAGCACCTGTAACTGTTCCTCGGTGAAGGTGGTACGCACACGTTTCGTTTTACTTTTGTGATAACCATCACCATCACAGCCATCTGATTTGTTGTGGTTGGGTGCATCGGTGGGGGGCGGGGGGGNCGTTTTACTTTTGTGATAACCATCACCATCACAGCCATCTGATTTGTTGTTTGGGTGGGTGCATCGGTGGGGGGCGGGGGAGAGATGATATTGTGTAGGTGTAGTAGAACGTAGCGCCAGTACGTTTTATAATCAAGGTAATCGATAGAGTTATCAACAGCGTCAGCGTCAATACCGAAAAGTGTAGTGACCGAGTGCGGATTAACGGTAAAAGAAAGAGAGAAGCAATAAAATAGTATTGTTAATATGTAATGTTATGATTTGATTGCAAGTATTTAATAAAGGTGACTTAAACTTATTTCTAACTTATTTTCTGTCTAGCTGCGTTTGGATTTCATTTAAGTTTTTAGCAGTCGCGAAGTTTTGTGAAAGTCTGCTTTATTAGGCTAAGTACTTGCAGAACTGGTGGCGCCATCCGGCAGGTGAATTTTCGTAACAAGTCGCGAAAGGTGGGGTGTCACAAACCCTATTGAAATAAAGCCTTTTACTCTCAAGTACCACGACTTTCACTAAAGTTTCTTTAATATTTTTAAAAATTAAGGTTTTTCTGATGATTAGCAATAAAAATATGTCGCGTTTTTTTATTAAAGCCACTTAGAGACCGCTTTCAACTGTACTGATGTTAGAACAGGCACTAAGAAAATTACGATGCTGAGGTCGTAAGATGGCGGGTTAAGGAGTCCCAAATACGCTTACAATTAAAAGTCATTTTGTAAACGAGACACTACTTAGTTCCAAGCTTTAAAGTTGATGGCAAAAGGACCGCTATTCAGATAGCAATCACTAGTTCCTATAACTGACAAAAATTCTAACCTTTCCTTGCATTTTTTTTATATTTATGTTATAAGTGGGTCTTAATAGTCCTCTAAGATAGCCATCGTCCTCATTCCTTTTTTGGGGAACATAACTTTTGTGTGAGGTCCAATGTCGCCACCGACATGGCTTATATATATTGAGGCGGCCACGTCCACTGCTACGAATAAAAGCAAGCAGCTGGTAAGTTCTGGGGATGTGTTAAAGATCCTGAGATGGATATTATCGCAGATAACTTCAAAAAACCTACGAAATCACTGGAGATAATTCTCGATCTAGAGCCGCTACATCTCACCAAATAGCAGACCACATAGGTCTTACTATCTTAAAGCGTAAACAGACGGCAGCGTTGATCCCGATCAACTCGGGAATTAACTGCAGT